TTCACGAGAAACTTGGCTTGAGCACGGATATCGGTCCTATCTTTAGCTTTCGTGCATTGTGAGCCCTAATGGGCCGAAGAGCACCCATACCATGATCATGATGTTCACCCAGCATCCTGCCAGAATCATTGAGACGGGGAACATTGGTGTGATGCAGCTCGAGATACCCCGACTCAGGAAACGCGCGGTGTCCTCTCTGCAAGTCACCAACCGGGCCACGCAGCTGCAGCGTTACATGGGGCCCTCCGAGCTGAACCCACCTCTGCTTCCGGCGAAGGCTCTGTCCGCTGAAGAAGCGGAGCTGCAAGCAACTGCCGTCATGTTCAGTGAGCCGGGAGACGCGGCATGGCTGTCGCAAGTCCACAACACTAAGTAGTCCGAGTTTCTATTCAAATGGCGCGAGGACATCCAGGAGTTGAGCAACTATCTTGAGACAGCCAGAGAGCACCCAACTGGAAAGATGTTTATGGACTGCGTCGTTAGGCTTACACTGCTGGCGCTCACGTTCCTGCGTGGAGAGCGGAACGGCGATTTTCTCCTCCAGCAGCACTGTTTAAAGGCAATGCTGCCGTATTTCTTCGCGATGGGCCACCACAACTATGCCCGCTACCTGAGCTGGTATGTGCAGCAGATGGAACACCTTCCCCAGCAAGCCAAGGAGGACCTTCTGGCGGGCGCGCACGTCTTTCGGCACTCGGACGGCGGGACCGCAGAACCAGAAGACCAGTTCGGTGAGCAGACGTGTGTTAAGCCAACGAAATGTAGTGGAGGCATAAATAACATTTTGACGAACGCCGAGCAAGTGACTGAATAGGTAAACAGTTTCATCGTTTGCGCTCACTTGGACATCGCCATGGATCATATGTGCGGTGAAGCTGGGGACGGGGAGAGGCCACATGGGGAGCTGGGAACGAAGAGGAGAAGCACAAGGAGAAAGCAGGAGAAAGAAGCGCAAGGAGAAAGCACAAGGAGAAAGGAGTGGGAAGAAAGGAGTGGGAAGAAGGAGACTGGACGAGGCCGATCGGAGGAGGATCGCGGCAGAGCTCGAGAAACATACGCGCACCCTTAATGAACAGCATCCTCGTGTCTATAATATCTGCAACGGCCAAATGGCCCCCGACACCGTGAATGTTCGGGATGCGCTGACCATCGGTAGTGAACAGAGTGGGCAGATATCCGCTTTCCTAAACAGTAACTTCCACAAAGTGATGAGAAGGGCGTAAAAACAGTGGAGGGACTCAAGAAGGCCGTCTTTGTCAAGGGAAAGGCTTTCCTTTGTCAAGTCAAAGGAAATCTACGACATTGACACGCCGTTCGGTCGGCTGCTGGTCGTGGGGCAACAACGAAGCGTGGATGTTGCTGACGTCTTCCAGTTCGAACTGAGTCCAGTGCCTTCATATCTGATCGACGAATGCGGCTTCTTGAGGAAAGGCGACAAGACCGTGCTCGTCAAGTGTCTCGGTGTCCCTGTCACGGCTCTACTTGCTCCAGACGTGGTGTTGGTTGACGGCAGTCAGCTGATGTACCGCGTCACCCGGCCCGTTGTGGGACCGCAGGAGATCTGGCTGTAAGCTTCGGCACTCGACCGGCCCGCTGTCCTCCTTGCCCCAAGAAAATCCTGCTCCTTGACAGAAGAGACCAAGAGACTCCTTGCGCGCAGGATCACCAACGAGTGAGAAGAGGAGTCAAGGAAATCCGGCTGACCCGAAACGCACCCTTTCATGTCGGGAAGCTATCCTTCACAATGTCATGAACAAGGGTCTGCTCAGTAACATCCCATGCAGCTACCCTCTTCCACACAATACCCAGCTTGTCAGCAAGCTGGACTGTGCCGTCACCCATGCTGAGGCAGACGTCACTCTCTGCAGCTACATGCAGAAGGCCGTGGCGGACGGTTCCCAGACCATTCGCATCATAAGTGATGACACCGACGTTTCGGCCCTCTTGGTGTACTGAACATCGAGGAGGCAGTTGGTCGCTAATATCCAAATGGAGAAGTGGAATGGTGATTTCCTGGAACATCAACGGGACTGTCAAATGGCCAGGCCCCGGAAAGCGTAGCCAGCTTCTCGGCGTCCACGGACTGTCGGGATGCGATACGGCGTCGCATTGCCTCGGAAAAGAGAAACAGTCGGCGCTCAAGGTGTCATAAATATATTTGCCATATCCTGATAAAGTACTTGGACAGCTTGGTGCGACCTACGATGAGCTAAAATGGACAGCAGACGCCTTCTTCTTAGCCCTATACGGACAACGGAGCTGTAGAACAATGAGTGACGCGCATGCTCGCTTTCAAGAAGCCTCCGCCGCTAAAGAAACTTACGCCGACTAATGCCACCTTCCAGCGGCATGCGCTCCGAGCTCACCTCCAAATGCTACTATGGAAAGCAGTGGACTAACGTGATCCCCCTCCCCCCCCCGAAGAGGCTCGAGATGTGGCCAACTTTTGTTAGAGCACCGAGGGCCCCGCCATCACACCAGTTATCTGAATAGCACTAGTTGCCCCCAAAACACTCCCGGGTGCAGTGAGCTGCAGGTGCACATCAGAGGGCAAGGCTTACAGCGGCGCGAGCTGCAGCTGCAACAGCGCAGGCCTTTCATGCACAGAGCTCTGCAAGTGCAGGGGAGGGATCACGTGCTACAGCCGTTTTACCACCAAACAGATAGATATCGACGACCAAAAAGAGGAACTGAGTATGCATGATGCCGATGGTGATGATAATGAACGAGTAGCACGACCCAGAAGAGGAACTAGGCATGCATAATGCCGATAGTGATGATAATATGAACGAGTAGCAGACGACTCACATCATGTGCATCATGTTTGACCATAGCGTCATGGCCGATGGCCAAGCGCAAACGTGCAAAATTGATGGGGTTCAGAATTTATTTGCGTTGGAAAAAAGCTGTTGTCTGGGATCGCGATTGCCAGCTTACTCCAGGTAAGGCAAAGTTAGGGAACCTTTTTCAGGACAAATAACGATAAGCCCGGCCCCTTCAGTGAGCGTTTCTGAACCTGAAAGGTATGGCTGTGGCGGATATGCTTTGATGGAATGATACAAATCTGGCATGAATTGCCTCACTGTTGTAATACCACACATCATATGCGCGATGCAAAATTTGAATTTCTTCCTTTTTCAGTCGTCAGGGCCACAGCGATTGAAGCCCTCTGTGGGTGTACTCTTACAAATGGCTTTTGACCTTGTGTCACCATCTTTGCTCCCGTGTTTTGCCTTGTCTTCCCTTGGACTTGATTTACTCGCCTCCGCCGATCCGTCGCTACAGGCTGCGGCTGCGGTGTGCTCGACACATAGGATTGCGCGGCAATGGCAACTTGCTGGTGTTTGTACAGCGATACCGCCGGACCTTGAGGGCTAGCGGCCAGTGCCGCAGACTTGGTGATGGCCCGCCCGCCCGGGTCAAGCCCTTGCCCCACTCCGCGGAACGGTGCTATCAGCTGTTGAAGAGGTGGCCTCGCCACAGCTCGCTGTCCGCTCCCAGACACGTGGGCCAGAACTGCGCGGGGGACGGGGAGTGGGTCCCATGTCGCACCAGCTTTGGAAACAGGCATCATTACGCATGTGACGGTGCACGTAACGAAAGTAATTGATAACACACGTGCACGTTCCGTACTTACCGAACAAGGCCGTAAAAATCAACCTCGGGTTCTTCTGTAAATCCAAAAGGAGCCTCCCAGTTTATGGAATGCACCCGGTTCGCACTGCCCATGTCGAATCAACCGTAACGTGTCTCGGGCGTCTCCACCCCGGTGTACCTGCAGACGTGCGGGAAAGGGACATCGCTGCGATTCTCGTTAGCGTCTTCCCTTGCATTTGAATTGTGCTTGTGTCGTAACTTCCGCGAATGTCATACCTGAGTGTGCGACTTGTATTCCGCCGTCACTTGTATTCCGCCGTCCCTTGTATTCCGCCGTCACTTGTATTCCGCCGTCACTGTGCGTGGTGCACCGGGCGCGCGGCGACGCCCTCCAAAACCGTGTTACGCGGTGACGTCCTCCAAGGTGTTTTTACGCAGTGACGTCATCCAGCGTCTTTTTGCGCAGTGACGTCCTTCGATGTCGTGGTACACAGTGACGTTATCCAATGTTGTGTTACGGAGTGACGCCTTCCGATGTCTGTTACGCCGTGACGTTCTTAAGTATCTTTTTATGCTGTGACGTTCTCCAATGTCTTTTTACGCAGCAACGTCCTCCAATGTCGTGGTAAACAGTGACGTCCTCCAAGGTCATGTTACGCAGTGACGTCCTTCAATGTCGTGTTACTCAGTGATGTCATCCAATATCGTGTACCGAGGTGACGTCCTTTAATGTCTTGTTAGCGTCCTCCAATGTTGTGTTACGCAGTGACGCCATCCAATGTCTTTTTACGCAGTGATTTCCTGCAATATCATGATACACAGTGACGTCATCCCACGTCCTTTTACGCAGTGACTCCCTCCAATGTCGTGATGCACAGTGACGTCATCCAATGTCTTTTTACGCAATGACGTCCTTCAATGTCGTGGTACACTGTGACATCATTCAATGTCGTGTTACGCAGTGATGTCCTCCAATGTCCTGTAACGTAGTGATGTCATCCAATGTCTCTTGACCTAGTGGCCTCTTCACATTTTCCTGTTTTTGCGACACACTGCCACGCCGCGTCCCGTCCACCGCTGACGTTTTAGCCCGATGCTCCACCGCTTCTCTGACCCCCTTCTCGCGGGCAGAAATCATGCTCCGATACCCCACCGCTCTTGCCTTCTTCCCCCCTCCCCCCCCCCCCCCCACACCTCTCCGGTCGTGTCTCCATGTTTCGTCGCTCCTGACTCCGGAGGCCGGCTCCTGACGCGCGCAGCCTGGCCTCCCGACGGTGTTTCCTCTCCTCCTGGCGGTGTGACCCCGCCTCCTGGCGGTGTGACCCCGCCTCCTGACGACGTGACCTCACCTTCCGGCGGTGTGACCTCGCGTACTGACGCATGTTACCCCGCGTTTGCCGCAGGCTCCGAGTACCCGCCGCTGAAGCCGGGCACTCTACGCGTCTACTCGATGAAGTTTTGTCCATACGCCGAGAGGACGCGACTGGTCCTCGCGGCTAAAAACATCCCGTGCGTGCTGGTCCTGGGTAGCCTGGGCCAGACGGGCTGTTCGGGAGTTAGTTGTCGTTGCGCCACTCCCCTGCCAGCGCTTATTGACTAAATGTGTTGTGAATTATTCTGTGTAAATCAGGTTTCCACATAGCTGTTGCTCAGTCATAGAGGACTTTTCATAGTTACGACAGTAGTGATAGCCTTATTCCTCGTAGAAAAGCCAGAAGAATGGAGATATAGGTACGTTGATATTTCGGCAACATGCCTTTATTGATAGCAGAAGAGCCGAAGTAAATAGCAGGCGCAATAATAGAAAAACAGAATTTACTCCTGCTATTCATTTCGATAAAGGCATGTTGCCGAAATATCAACGCATCTGTACCTCCATTCTCTTTGCCTTTTTACGTGGAATAAGGTTATTACCACTATCTTATCTGTGTGCATAATGTTCCTCGCAAATGGACTTAACAAATTCCGAAGTTTTTTCTACAGATACAGTTGGACCACCGCGTCAAAATCAGAACACGTCTCTGTGGGCTGTGCACGTGCACTTATTCGTTTGAATGCTTTATCTGATGTGGTCGCGGCTGGGGCTCGACCAGTGAAACAGGCTAATAATGTTTGCAGTTCAAGCGATCACGCGGCCGGTCTAGCCAAGGGTTTTTCAGCGACTGAGTCATCTTCAGAACTCTGCTCGCCGTTTTGACAGACACGAGGTGGTCAACATCAACCTGAAACAGAAGCCGGAGTGGTACGTGGCCAAGCACGCGGATGGCAAGGTGCCAGCGCTGGAACTGGACAACCATTTTGTGCCCGAGAGCCTGGTCACGTGTAACCTGCTGGAGCAACTGTACCCGGAGCCGGCCCTCTACCCGGCTGATCCCTGGGCCAAGGCCCGTGACCAGTTCATGGTGGAGCAGTTCAGCGCGGTAGGTAGCTTCGCTGGGCTGGGTGTAAGGGAATCAACACGCTTAGGAAATGTCTATTTGTATATATATATATATATATATATATATATATATATATATATAATAAACATTCCATAGACATTCCGTACATGTGCATTCCGGACACCTTGTTGTAGGAATCCGCACGGCTCTGTCGGAATCTTGACCCCCAGCGTGTTCCGCACTGTACACATTTGAGAACGTGTGATTTCAGCAGCCCATGATGTTAATGAGGAGTCCAAGGGGCATGCACTCAAGACATTCAAAGAATTTGTGCGTGTTTGTCCGTGGCCGGGCTTGCCCATCAAACGCTTGATTGCCGCGGTTACAGCATGCCCATCGTTATATTATGCCGTGTGAATTTTGATTGATCACATTTGTTATTCGGTTTTGTGGCAGTCTCACAGGTAGGCGAAATTCAAGGCCGTCTTGGACTTTGAATGCTCACATTGTGAGTAAACTGTGCCCCGAATGTGACCGAAAATGTGTCAATTGATATCACCATCTGTTCTAGGTTTCTGGAACCATGTACCAGATGTACCGGGCTTCTGGGGATGCCGAGAAAATCAAGGAGCTCAGTGACACGTTCAACAAGAAAATACAGGTGTTTATTATGACCCTCCATTATTTAACATACCCGTGCGCAACGGCTAGGTTAGTCGGAAAGTTAAGGGCATAATGGTGTTACTTTTCTGGAAAAGGCGGGGAAGCTTGTCTGACCAAATCGAACGATCATTGAGTTTCATGTTATCCTCGTAACGAAATCTAAATGATATTTAATCGTGAGACTGTTCAGTCCACGAATCTTAGGATGCTTGTGAGCAATATGCCAGGATAAACGCACACTGCGCATTGGTGAAGAAAGGCGCGGTTTCGAATTTCTGACGCGTGTCAATTTGCTCAACGGTGATATTGTGTCCTGTCAAGGGTGCGGTGTTAGGGGACTGCTCCTCCCCCTTCCCCAGGGGCAGCGGCGGACGGCTTCTTATCCGCCCCCTTCCCCCACACACCACCCCTATCGGTTATGGAGCTGGCGATGACCACTCACTGTGCCAGCCATGCGTATGATGATATGATGACCATGATGATGATGATGACTGCGACACCCGTCGGTCTGATGAAGCGGCAATGTGCCATCTGGTAATCCTCGTCTGGTAAGCTTTGCCTGTATCGTCCAAGTGATGAGCCCGCTCTGCAGCGCCCCTCCCTCAAGCTCATCCTATTCCGTCCATCTGATCAGCTCATCCTATGCCCTCCGTTTGATCAGCTTGTCCTGTGGCCTCCGTTTGATCAGCTTGTCCTGTGCCCTCCGTCGGATCAGCTTGTCCTGTGCCCTCCGTCGGATCGGCTTGTCCTGTGCCCCCCGTCTGATCAGCTCGTCCTGTGCCATCCGCCTGATCAGTTCGTTCTGTGCCATCCGTCTGATCAGCTCGTCTTGCGCCCTCCGTCTGATCAGCTTGTCCTGTGCCCCCCCCCCCCCCCCGCCAAATCACCTTTACCTATGTATTCCGTCTGATTAGATTGTCCTGTGCCCTCCGTCGGATCGGCTTGTCATGTGCCCTCCGTCTAATCAGCTTGTCCTGTGCCGTCCATCTGATCGCCTCATCCTGTGGCGTCCGTCTGACGAGCTCCCGCTGTGTCGTCTACCTGTTGCGCTCGCTCTGTCGCCAGCCGTCGGTTTAGCTCACCTGTGCCACCAGTTCGATGAGCTCGTCCTGTGTCACCTGTCTGCTGAACTCTGCCCCTGCCGTGCCTCAGCCATTCGAGGAGGAGCTGATTCGCCGCGGCACGCCCTTCTATCACGGCGACCGTCCGGGTATGCTGGACCTCATGATCTGGCCGTGGATGGAGCGCTTCCCGGCCGCTCGCAAGCTGGGCGTCACCACACTGCCTGAAGGAGAGGTGCCGCCGCCGCCACCCTCCATCAAAAACCTGGTGCGTGCCCCCCCCCCCCCCGCTGTTATGCGGCTCAGCACGAGGGCTTTTGGGATGGTGTGACAAGACATTGATGCAGTTTGGACTGCTTTATGGCGTGGCATCTCGCGTTACTAAACATTGTACTTCTGTGAAGCGATTGCATCCCACGATCAGTAGCATAGAATTTTAGGTCATTGACCTTATGAAGCAACTGGAGCAATTATTAGGTTCTTTCTTGTTTGGAAAGGCCGAACAGTTCGTCTAACCGCTCCGATTTTCTGTTAAACGGGACGTTCACGGACATATGAAAAACGATCCCATGATGGCATCGCGTTTCTGATTATCCCGGGACTTAAATTTAAGTAGTCATTTACAAGATATTCTCAGCCTCTAAATTCTAGAATGCTCCTAAACCATACGCCAGATTATACGCGCACTGCACGTGATTGCAAGGTTGCACGCCGCAGAATACCTGTTGTGTGTCACGTTGTTAAACCGCCGCAGCGTGCGTTTTCAATGATGCAGGGTGTAGTCAAGGTTCTTGGGGATGTTGCGCCAAAGGCTGATGAGAAAACACTGGTTGTATTGCATCGGACAGGCTCGCTATATATACTGATCGAGACGTGCCCACTCTCGAACCACTGATGCGTACATCCTCTGCGCGTGTCCCTGGAAGACAGGGGCGTGAGCCCCGCCTTCCGGGTGTTCAGGATACACACGGGGCGCACGCGTAGGGCGCCCGCGTAGAGACGGTAATGTTGCGCATTTCGCATCGGTCCACGCGTGAGCCGAGCTTCCGACCGTCTTTGCGAACTCTCCGACTCGTCAGCTGAGCAAGGGGCAGCGCCTCGGGTTTGGCTGACGTTCGCACCGACAAAAGTGAACAGAGAAAGGCGGAAAACACGTCAACACGTTTTTTAGACATCAGATGCGGTACCGCTTGGACGACGAACGAGTTATCTGGTAGACAAAGCGATCAGTGTTCATGATTAGAGCTGGAATGAGATGAACCGTTCATGCTCCCCTGCCTTGGCCTGATCCCGTCCTGATCACGGCTGTGATCGCTCGAGGCTACAGACGGTCACAGGCGCTCGAGGTCACAGACGGTGACCTCTGGTGCAGACGTCCGCACGCCCAGCGTACCGGGCACGCTCTGCGGGGGGGGACCGTCCTCGCCCCGCTCCGATGATCGATGGCTGCTGACCTGGGCTTGTGTGCTCCACGATAATGCCGGGCAACAGGCGGCGGCAGCGGCGGCGGTGATATCATTAGTTGCTGGCGGTCCGATCGATGGGTGCCAGCGGCGCAGCCGTCTAATGGGGCCGCGCGGATCGGCAGATGGGGCTCGCGTTGCTGATAATTCAGTGACCGAAGCTATTCTTGTCAGGTGTTTAGCCAGTACTTAGGTGTGTTAAGTGTTTAGCCAGTGCGCTGCGAGAATCTGCTTCGACCAGAGCCTGCGAGTGGTGGGCTTGCACTGTAATGCGTTTTGCACCGACTGTTTGCGCGGCACGGACAGTTTGTGCAGACTGTGTGCACACTTTTACTCGGCTGCCGCTCGTGTCGTGTTGGTGCCGTATGCTCAGTTGTTACCATCAATGCAAATTTCCCATGGTCGATGTCGTTAACCGTTTTTGTTTTTTGTCAGACAACGCTATTGACCTGTTCGCCGACGACAAACGACCAATCCGGGGTCTCCATGGTCGCTTGATGATCACCTGTTTCTGGTAGCACCCATCCATGTGAGGGGTGCTGTTTTCACCCGGTGTTGAGGCGTTTAGTCGCTTTGTTCCTTGCTGTTGTTCATCCCGAGGCGTCGCAGGATTTGCAACACAGGCTAGCAGCTAGCGCTCGCGGCCCAGTCGAATATCAGAAGGCCCAGTTAGGCAAGACGAGCCTGCTACATGACCGCAGTCACGGTCCGCGGCGAGCGGGCGTCACTGATCATGTCTCTGCCGTTGCAGCACGAGTGGGTGATGCGGATGACACAGCACCCCGACGTCAAGAAATGTCTGATAGCCACCGAACACCACATGAAGTTCATCATGTCCAGCAAGACCGGCAAGCCCGACTACGACATGGAGGGCGTCTAGGCCGGGAGGCGACGCAGCCAGAGCCGGGCAGCCGAGGCCATCTAAAGGCTCGAGGCCGCGCGGGAGTAACTCTCTGGCTGGCGGGCGGGACCGACCCGGCCGTAAGATGTAACCAAACGTATTTCCGTTAGTAGGTTCTAGACAGCCAAAAAGTCCCTGTTCTTGGTTGCGGTGTTTCACGAATGAGAATCATGCTACCGGTGTTCAGACTGCTCCGTTCCCATGGCAATATAGCTGGAATTGTGGAATTTGGGTTTGATATATTGCCGTAAATGATGTGGAAAACAATGAGGATCTGGAAAAGAGTCGTTTGTGCCCAGCAAAGAAAAGAGTGACTGGTATGATCTGACCGACACCCGTGCTTCGGCCTCGGCGGAAACTAAAAGCATGAATTTTTATCGGGGTGCTGGTGTAGCTCACATGTCCGCCTGCGCTCTCAAACACAACTGTCGTCGTGCATTTAATCCAGCGGCTCTGGCGCCCGCTCAGGAAAGCTCAGAGAACGAATTTTTCGTGCAGCTACTCTAATTGTTCTTGCCAATCTGTGGTGTTTTTGATCAGTTCTGGTTCTTGATCAGATCAGATCAATCAGCTGGTGTTCTTGACAAATCTGTGTTCAGTGATGGCGTCCTTGATTGTTAAGCGTTGCCAGGATACCAGCTATTGACGGTAGACGTCAACCTACATTGATTGGCTGTCGTAGCGTCGATCAATGAAAGTAATCGTTGGGAATAATGACAGAGGCCAAAGTGGACTCCAGGCTACTTCCTCGAGTTTAAAGTGGGCGACAGGCTGATTGGCGTTGTCTTGACGAATCGATCCGCCGCTTTTCATCAAGTCAAGATCCACCAGTGCGGCTCAAAGTCCGCAGCTCGGCGTTGTTGATGCCTTCGATAGCGGGATTCGTGGAAAAGCCACCCAGTGTTTGCGTTGCTGATCGGCAGTCGCATACTTATCGACTGAAGACGGCTGAAGACAGGCCGTACTGTACTGGCCATCCTCCGCTTCGATGCAGCGCCGGGTTTGTCGTTGGATCATAATGGTTCTTGGTTCGTCATACACCATTATAAAAGGCGTTTGACGCTACGTGCTACAGCGCCACGGAGTACCGGAATGAACCTGATATGTTTCATGGATGCAACATTTGCGAGGCTGTCAGCGTTAGATATGGAAGGGCACTGAACCTGGCACGTCGGGCCTCCATGGCGTGCGGCACACCAGTGCTGGTTGGCCAGTTGTCCCCCATTAGCGGTGCTGATTTAGCGGCTGGTCGCGTCTCGACGGTGAGGGTAGGACAGGGCGCTGGACCCCGACGACACGAGAGCGGGCGGCGCGACCTGCAGCGCAGTGCAGCCAGACACGGACTCCATGGCTCGGTCTCCGGGTGCACTGTCGGGTCCGGCGCCGCAGCCACCGCCACGAAGTGGAGTGCCAATGTCCGCGGCGGTTACACGCCTCGGTGAATGACGCTGTTGCTTTTACCGGCAAGGCACCTTGGTAGTGTCACCCCACGTGCCACACTGATGTTAGCCACCATTGCCTGGACATATTAAGTTAGCCGGAAGCGAGACCGTCGCAGAGGAGAGGATCGGGCATCACCACACAACGTGTCGCAGAGGCTCGGAACACTAAACGCTTTGCAAATATATTTCCGCCCTATTTAACAGACAAGCTTTCGTCTCGTCTCGAACGCGGTCCAGTTTCGTCATCCAGATACTGTTACCTCTCGCTGGCTTAGATACCGCTATCTCTTCAGGGCGTGATCTATCCAGCCGCCTTGTAAGAGCCCCAACCATCGTGCCACATCAGTGGTTGAAGTACCCTGGATTCCGAATCGCCTCCATGCTGGCGCGTCCCCTCGGTACCAAACCAAATCATGTACATCGTAGGCAGAACAACTTTTCCGTACGACAACGACCACTCACTCAGCACTGACGCCAGTGAGCGCGGTGCGTTGCCTGTCGCAGTGTCGCGCGATGACCTACACTCTGCCGACCCGCTGCAGCAGCCGGTCCATGGTCTCCAGGATGAAGGGCACGTAGTGGCGCACGCGCAGCGCCAGCTGCGGCTGCCCGGGCATGCAGCTGTCCATCAGCTGCAGTCCCTCCAGCTGACCGACGCCATCGGGGGCGCGCGCCACCACCGGACCGCCAGCGTCCTGGTCGCAGCGCGGCACCGCCGCCAGGCAGAGGTCGGGCCCGGCGCGCGATCCGCCCGGGAACAGAAACTCGGCGAGCGGCGATGCCGCCAGGGCGGCGCCACAGTCGGCCAGCGGCGCCACGGCCGCCGTGGTGGTCTCCTGCCAGCCACGGCTCGAGCTGCCGTCCGTGTCCAGAGCGGTGGCGTCCAGGCCGTATCCGACCAGCCGAAGCTCCGAGCCTGGGAAGTCGGGAGCGGGTTATGAGTCGAGTCAGACCACTGGGGTCGCGGCTACTAAATCGTCAGCCGCGGATGGTCGGGCGGGGGAGCTTGAGGGGGATGGGCTGGGTCAGCTGGCGGCCTGTGAGGCCGGCGTTTTGGGACCAATGGACGCTCTTATCGCTGTGGGTTAAGAAGTATCTCAATTTGACGAAATACCAGGGGACTGCAGGACATTACTATTGACATCGTAGCACGGGCCCCCGGGGTTCCACTACATTAGTGCTGCAACAAAAACTCTTACTCACAGGAATGCTACATTGCTCCTAGCAATGCTTATATGCGACATTAGTGCTACGCGACAAAACTTGTGCCGCATAAAGTTCAACTCTTCATAACTTCTACTCCAAACACTGATGCAGACGTTACCTATACGCGACGGTATTCTACGGCAAAAACTTAAACACATTAGTGCTACATGACAAAACCTATGCTTCAACAACTTATCCCTGTCATAACCTCTACGGCAAACGCTTATACAGCCATTGCCATCGCCACTTACACATTAACCACTGCTTATACACGCATTACTTCTGCTGTTGAGACTTATACGCGACATTAGTGCTACAGAAAACACTTGTGTTCAAGTATTTCCTGTAGAAATTATGATCGGCATATTTCTTTGCGGTACAAGGTTTGCCGTGTGCTATTGATGTCTTATATGAGTTTTTGCGGAAAAATTAATGTCGCGTATATATGAAGAGTGCATAAGTCCGCTGCATAAGTAATGATGAGTATAAGTGTTTGCAATGAAGACTTGTCCTGTAGCACTCCTATCGTGTATAAGTTTTCGCGGGAGAAGTAATGACACGAACCAGTCGAGACTGCATCAGTTTTTGCAGCAGATGTACTGACGTGTGTACGTCTTTGAAGCACAAATTTTGTCGTATGACATTCAGGCCGTGTATAAGCCTTTGCAGTGGCAGTAATATCGCATATAAAAAATCTGCACCAGTTTTTGCAGCAGAAGTAATGCCGCCTATAACTGATGTAACGTTCCTGTCGGTAGTGGTTTTTACAGTAGCAATAATGTTGTGACGCCGGACACCGGTACGGGTCCAGCCCCCAGCCGAGAGTTCAACAGCTGGACTTACTGAGAGCTGTTTCCATAGAGTTAGGTTTGCAGTGCTGTGAGGATTATGCAGTCGCTATTTGCGGTGCAAGGGGAATAGGGGAGAGTTGCGGCGTGACCCCTACGCTGTGCCTGTACCGCGTCCCCACCGCGTAAACTCAGAGGCCAATTTGGTGCTATGTACAAAGAAGGTTGTGTGTATTATATTTGCACGCTGATTGCCACATGGCCATACACTGCAGCTAGGCAGCACACAAATGGAAGACTGGGAAATGGAGGGGGCGGGGGGGGGGAGGAGAGGAGAAAGCACTCAATTTGTGTTCTGCTGACGTCATAGTCTTATTTCAGGCAGAAGGGCGCTGAACACAAGAGATGTGGTACGCCAGCCGGGATTATCACAAATGCATCAGAAATATATGTCATGGACTCATTTCAGTTCCATACTTGTGGCCCTGAGCAACGTAATCAAGCAGACCACGGTCTCAATCCAACGGCCAAAGACCACATTCGCACTTTCAAGCCGCATGACAGCAAGACAATACGCCATTTTGATAACGGAATTTTTGCATGACTGAAGTATAACGAGAAACATTTCTCACACCGCAACTACCCGCAGCGCGCGACTTCATATATCTCGCGTTCCAAATAGGCTTTCGGCAGCCCAAAAGTTCTAGACATCAGGTCAGCTATACGCATTTGAAATAAAACAGTCTCAGTTTTCCAAAAATGGTCTTATCTTTGTTGAATATTTGCTTCTTGACTACTTTATAACCATAAGAAACGCATTATCTTTCGTCGGAATGCGCAAAAATAGCCAGCATCTTGAAATACTTCGATGAAAAAATGGGCAGCCAATTAAATTTTATTTCAGAAAAAAACTCCACGGCTGCTTTCATGTGAAACAAAACCATGAGAAAACACCCCGCTCCACTAAAGAAGAAATAAATTGTAGACATCAAAGTGGGGAGGTTTCCTAAGGGCGGCCCTTCCAGTTTCTAAAACCTATCTTCAAAGTTCTAAGCTATTTCCTCCAATGAGTCAATGCCAGGAGCTCGCACTGGCTCTTGTGCCGCCAGTCATCTACAAATTCTGATTTTCTGGTAATTTGAAGCCAACTGTGCAATATTGACGGAGGATATTGCTGTAGGCATATGCCACATACCTCCTCACACTGGCCATGCCATCGGCCACCCCAAACGAACCCGGCCACAAGCCTGTGTGTGTGGGAGGGGGCGGGGGGAAGTGTGTGAAGATTGTTGTGCATGGATTTCCGCATAGCATGCACTGTACAGGCATCCTTCAAACGAATGGAGAATTGTGGGACAGTAGAGTAGTACAACCCGCTTGAGCGCTGAAGGTCATGCGTTGCGTTTGGGTGGCAGCAACCGATTGAATACGTGGTAATTTTAGAACCTCACATGTCTTCTTCGATTTGCTGAACGTGAAACGCACAGATCTGTGTTTCACAATAAAAAATACACTTCAGAAAACGGTGCACGCGAGGGGTGTGACAATTCGCACATGACAATCACAACTGTATCAGAAACATCCGTTCCGAATTATGCATTTTTACAACATTTTTATGTTGTAATTATGTAATTACAACATAAAAATGTTGTATGTAAATATGTAAATATGTCATTACAACAACACAATTATGCATTTTTACAACATTTTTACAAACTCAGGCAGTTGAGCTATAACTGAAAAGAGCACAGTCTGGTCTTTTCGGGATTGGTCCCAACTTTGCTGAAAAAG